GTGGGGGGGGGGGCAAAGATTGTCTTTTTTTATAAGAAGAAATAAAATAAAATAAATAAATAAATAAATATCATTATTTATTTTTATTTTATTTATTATTTTGCGGTAGCAGCAGCAGCAGCAGCAGCAGCAGGCGGTTGGTTGGTTTGCCCCACGACGTTGGCTGCTGCTACTGTAGCAGCAGCAGCAGCAGCAGCAGCGACAGCCAGACAGGGTTGGAGTGTCTGGGGAGTAGTGGGGTATTATTAGGGTGTATAGGCAGCTAAATAATAAATAAATTAATAAATGAATAAATAAAAATATATTTTTTTATTGCTGCAGCAGCAGCAGCAGCAGCAGCAGCAGCAAATATATTTATAATTTTATTGAGGTGTATAGGCAGCTTCTGCATCATCACACACCCCAACAACTTGCTGGCTTTGCCGCTGCAGCAGCAGCAGCAGCAGCAGCAGCAGCAGCGGCAGCTGTTATATAAATACAATTAAAAAGAAGATAATTGTATTTATATTTCTTTCTTTTGTTTATTTTCTTTTATTTCTTTTTCTTTTCTTTTTTTTGCTGTTGCTTCTCCCCTTCCCCACCACCCTTGCTTCTTCTTCCCTATTGCTGCTGCATCTCCGCACGCAGCAGCAGCAGCAGCAGTAACAGCAACAGCAGCAGCAACATAAACAGCAGTAGCAGCAGCAGCACGTATAAGTGTATAGTTGCTGTATTTGCTGCGGTTGCTGCAACACCACCGTTAAACCTCTAACCCCCCCGCATCAGCTGCTGCTGCTGCTGCTAGTACACTAGCTGCTGCTGCTGTTGCTGCTGCTGCTGCTATGATGACGATGGAGGAAGAACTAAGCCCTGCTATAATAGCAGCAAGGGCAAGACTAAGAGCATCGCAGCAATTAGGAGGAAAAGGGACAGCAAGAAGGAAGGCAGCAAAGACACATAGAGGGGGAGCAGCAGGAGCAGCAGCAGCAGCAGGAGGAGAGGAGAAGAAACTGCAGCAAACAATAAAGAAAATTGGTGCTGCTGCTGTGTTTGGTGTAGAGGAGGTACACCTGCTGCATGCAAATGGTACAACTATTTCCTTTAAAAGCCCCAAAGTGCATGCAGCCCCAACAGCAAATATGTATGTATTAACAGGAGCAGCAGCAGCAACAGGAGCAGCAGCAGGAGGTGAAGAAAAAGGAGGTATAAATAATACATTATCTGCAACATCAAGAGCTGCTGCAGTTGTTGCTGCTGCTGCAGCAGCAGCAGGTAATAATACAGAGGCAGCAGCAGACATTGCTGCTGCACTTAATATAGATCCAAGTAATATACTTAATGTAATAAATAAAGGAGATAAAAAAGGAGACAAAAAAGGAGACAAAAAGGCAGACACTAGTGATGATGATGTACCTTCTCTTGTTGAAAACTTCGAGGCTGCAGCAAAAGAATAAATCCAGCAGCAGCAACAGCAGCAGCAGCAGCAGCAGCAGCAGCAGCAGCAGGTGGTGGTGCTGCAGCAGCAGCTGCCGCAGCAGCTGCAGCAGCAGATGGAGATGTAATTGGATAGATGTATCATGAGATATAGCTATATTGCTGCAGCAGCAGCAGCAGCAGCAGCAATTGCTGCTGCTGCTGCGGCTACTGCAACAAAATACCATTAATAGCAACAGCAGCAGCAGCAACAGCAGAAGCAGCAACAGCAGCAAACATGATGGACAGGCTAGAGACACGCAGCGGCTGCTGCAGCACCAGCAGCAACAGATAAAGTGCAACAGCAACAGCAGCAGCAGCAGCAGCAAATGCTGCAGCAGCAGCAGTAGTAGCAGTGCTATATAATGGCAGCTGTTGCATGCTGGCAGCTGCAGCTGCTTGTGCTGCAGCAGCAGCAGCAGCAGCAGCAGCAGCAGCAGCAGCAGCAGGTGATGTTAAGAGTTTCTTAGACTTGTTTTGCTGTTTTAAGTTTGCTGATGTCCAACTAATTAGCTGGCTAGCTAGCTAGCTAGCTAGGTGGCTAGCTAGCTAGCTAGCTAATTAGCTGGGTAGGTAATTAAGTAACTAAATAGCTAGGTAATTAGTTAACTAGATAACTAGATATATAGGTAGTTAGTTAGCTAGCTAGCTAGCTAGCTACGTAGCTAAGTTACTATTAGTTAGGGAGGTAATCTTATATAGGTATTTTCTTATAAGAAATAAATACGTATACGTATACGTATACGTATACGTATGCGTATACGTACATATACATATACATAGTATATGTATATTATGTATATACGTAAATGTATACATATACTATTATAATGTATAATATATGCAGAATAAAAAAACAAATAAAATTATATTTATTTATTTAATAAATTAAATAAATAAATAAGAAGAAATAAAATATAAATAAAATATTATTAGCTGCCTATACACCCGGGAGTTCATGGGGTTTAATGAGGAAAAGAAGACAAACTAATTATTATTTAATTAATTAAATTAATTAAATTAAATATATTTATTATTTATTAAATAA